AAAATAGAAGAAAAACAAAACAAAAAACGATCCGCCTTCGCCTCGCGCTCTTTGAGCTGCTGCTGCTGCTGTGCCAAAGCCGACTGCTGCGCCTCGGAGGCTCGCCCTCGCCCGTCTCGCCCGTTTCGGACTCGCAGGCGCCCCCATGTTGGACGGGGGAGTCTGACACGGGTGTCCATTTCGTGTCCCTAGAAAAACAAACTCCCCCCCCCAAAAAAACGAGAAAGGAACTCGGAAAACACGGCGCGAAGTAAATTATCGAGGTGTGGTGGCTTCGGACAGTGGGCATTCAGTGGAGCAAGAGGACACGGGTGGTGGTTGGAGACAAAAGAATCTGCAACGATATGTTCGGGTTTTAATCGTCCACTGTTGCTAAAATATGTTTTGAAAGTGCCTGCCAATATGCAGCAGCTGTGGAAGCGCCTGATGTGGATTGATCGCTTGGACACGCTCTGGTGTTGAGCCCGATGTGGAATTTATCCAAATGAAAAGACACAAACCAAGCCCGTTGGCAGAAAGGGGACAGACCTCAGCTTGCAGTCTTGCCCGAAACTCACATGACAAGATGCCCAGGGCATGCGCAAAAACGTGTTTGATTCATGACCCTGGCATGACATCTCGCAAGCATGCAGGGACACTCCATGTTTGCAGAAGACAAAGGAAACAAAATGGTTGTGGCTCAAAATCAAACAGGAGGGGTTACGCAGGTTTTGGCCGTTTCCACTTACCAGGGTTCCATTTTGCTACCGGATTTTTGAGCCACCGCCGAATCCTGCGCAGCTTCCGCAGTTCAAACCGACGTCCGTCGACGCCGCCCGCAAAGAGCCCCGGGCAGCGATTTGCTCCAGGGCCTGCCGGATCCCAAGTGCGGATGGACTGCCTCAACCTGAGCTTCTTGTTGTGTTTTTCATTGTTGTTCCTTTTGTTTCGCTTTGTTGTTACCGAAACAAAACTAAAACAAACAACTCAAAAAAAAAGACAGATGTCCGGATGTCCAAATACGTTCAGAGTGGTCGCTGGATTGCACGCTTGAAGCTAAAATAGCATGCATGAACACATGACATGTGTTCTTGCCAAACTGCAGGCAAGCAACACGTGTGGATCAAAGACAGGTAGCCAAAATAAGAACCCCTGTAAATGGCAACAAGGAACACATCCTGTCCCGTCGTTTAAGTTTGATACCAGCCCCCTGCTCCTGCTCCTGGGAGAGCAGCGCAGACTGCTCTGCGCTCAGGAGACTCTCCACACGCTCCTACACAGTCCGCGTTCTTCAAAGTTTTCAGAGACTTGTCCAAGGATCCCTGCAGCTTACACAACAAGGATGCCGGTCAGCTTACCACATCAATAAGATGACATGCGCTGCAAAGCAACAGCAAGCCGTAATTGATTCTCAGAGGTCTCAGTGAATGTCCCCGTCTCATGTGGAAAAGCCGCGTGGCTGATTCAGCTTCCATGTTGCCATGGAGAGTTGGATGACTTAGACGCCCCCGCCAAACCTGGCCATCAGATCGCTCCTGGCGGCCTTGCATGCCCGTGTCGGTCACCTGCGCTTCTTCCGAGCCGCTCGGCCCACAAAGCATCCGCTGGTCCGTGCGCCTATTGCTACTGACACCAGCACTGCGGTCCTTCCAAACGCCGGGCCAAGCCATGTTTCAACGTCCCAATTCCGAAACTTCCACCGCTCGCGTCATGATTCTTGATTGCATCAATTTCGGTGGATTGCCCCATGGGAATAGCAGACCATTGACTCCGCAAACTCATGCCGTGCGCCTCCATTGGCGTCAGATTCTCAAATGCCTCCAGAAAGGTGAAGGGTGATGAGCTCTTTAGTTGCGCCTTTGGGATCCAAAAGTAGCTTCCCATTTTTCTCCAGCCTCCAGAAGCGACGAGGCGACATGGGCCGCGGCATCTTCCTGTCACAGCACCCTAAGGAGCAGACGATTCATTTGGGTTGTGGTGTTACAACAGCCCGATGTCTTGTTTGTAGTCTTATTTTTTTAATCTAGAGAAGAAACAAACAATGTCTGTGAGCGTGTGTGTGTGTGTGTGGGTGTCAAACAAAAAAACACAAAAAAAAAAACAGTTGTTTGATTGTTGTAATAAACAATAAAAAAAAATGATTGTTTCACTATTGAGAAGTTGCTGGCTGTTTGAAATTTGGCAGCTAAAAGTCCAATGATAGCTGTCAGAAAAGGAACAGCTACTGGTATGTCAAATATATCTATAAAAAAAGACACCTGAAACAAAGAAAACAGAACAAGAAACATGCTGAGAGAGCAAATGAAAAAGCTGTAGCTGGAAGGCACTACAAAAAAGGACCGTTCTCCACAAGGTTGAAGTGGTACGCATGCTCCATCCATTGCGGCACGCAAGCTCTTACATTTGTTGTGTTGACGTTGAAGGTGTTTGCAGACGGGACACCAGTTTTCTTCGGCGTACAGACCTTGCTTCGGCAAACAGACCAAACACACATTACATAACAAAAGCATGCCTGAGGTTTATTTATATATTCATTTAGCTTGTTTGTATTGCTGTCTTCATTTGTCTATGTATCCATTGAGTTGTGTATCTTTAGATTTTGTGTCTCATCTTTGTGTCTATCTATTTATGTACTTAGTCGTGTTTTTTGCTTGTTCATTTATGTATTGCTTTATCTACTCACTTTTGTGCTTCTTTATTTATGATTTACTGTATACACACGAGCGCACACACGCGCGCACACATTTGCACAAACGCACACAAGCAAGTAAGCAAGTAAGCAAGCAAGCAAGTAAGCACGTAAGCAAGTAAGCAAGTAAGAAAGTAAGCAAGCAAGCAAGCAAGCAAGCAAGAAAGTGCCAGGGCAAGCAAGCAAGCAAGCAAAGCAAGCAAGCAAGCACGCACGCACGCACGCACGCAAGCAAGTGCGCCTTGCTAACTCTGGTCATGGCCACACCCCAAACTAATGCTCTGCAATGGTGTTACTGCTGTCCAGCAATCCCTAAAAACAACAAACAAGACCAACTCCAAGTGGCAACATGGCTGTGGGTTGGAAATAGGCACCCAAATTGAGACCCCAGTAAATGAACCAAGGACTCAAACCTGCGGTTTTCTGGTGGCTTAATTTTGACCCATACCCACGTTCCAACGCCAACCATTTGGCAGGTAGCTCACCCAGTGCTAAGGCTCGCGTTCCGACTTCCTCCCCGTCGCCTGCGCGAGGAAGCCACCGGCGGGCCTCAGATTGTGCTGCGAGAGCACTGCCTCGAGCTCCCGATGTGCGCATATCTTGTTTGCTCGCAAATAGGTATAAGTCTATGCCTAAGAACGCATACATGTGTATGTGTATATATATATACACGTATGTGCTGTTCTCCAAATGATCCGGGAATGTCTTGCTAAATCCTGGCCCAAAACAAATAGCAGGGATGTAACTTGTTGCAACTGGTTGTGGTACTTGGTTTGCAAGAATCTGAAGAAGACCTACAAAGGAAGTTACATGTTCTCTGATAACCCTGGATTTGCGCAAGCTCTGCCTGACCTTAAGGTGTTTTGTTCCACTGGAGCTAACCTCGCATTGAGATGAGAAGACGAACGAATCTGCTTTCTCATCTGCGAGCACTGTTGGAAGCCTGCTATGCCACTCCCTACAAGTGATTCAACTTTTCCAGGACCAAAAATATGCGTATGGCTTTACTTGCTTCATGGTCTGTTAGCAAAGAATCACCCAAGCAAGGGACATCAGACAAACCCACCAACCAACCCTGTCTGCTCACTCCTGGTCCTGCGCAGCCTTGCCCTTGCCTTGGGGATTCCTGCGGGCCCATGACATCAATTGGTCCAACGACGCCAGAACCTGTCCATGCCTGAATCGCCACTTGACCAGCTCTGCTGCTTTGCAGTCGAACCGCAGACGCTGCGCGCTCGGCTAGGCCGAGGCGGGCAATGCGCAGCGTTTACAATTATTGTATACGTATATGGAGTGTAAAATAGTAGTACAACTGCAAGGGACACACCCTGTCAGGGTTGTGAAGGTATGATTTTATTACGGCACAAACTGCCAGGGGCCCCTACATTTGGCAACAATCCACTATGTGTACATCTATACACATATAGCCCTCATGTCCGCACTCAAGCCACACCACAGTGACATCCACGAGATGTGGCTCGGTTCCCCGCACTGCGATCTAGTGTGCAGAGTCCAAGTCTTGGCAGAAAAGTACTTCCGACACATTAAGGTTGCATATCATTGCCGGGCTCTCATTGTATACAATCCGGTAGCCGTGTTCAGAATGGTCCGCGGGGTTCGTGTGTCCTATTTGTGGTCAAGACTCATTCGGGCTCTTGGCAAAATGACCACAGGCCAAGTAGCCTCTGGTCGACTGTCAGGGCATAAGCACCCGTGAAGAGCAGCAAGAGGACCTGTTGAACATGACTAGTGCGTCACTAGTGTATGGGTCAAACTTTAAGCATCAGGGGACCGCAGGTTTTAGTCCTTGGTTCCATTTACCAGGGTTCCAGTTTGGGGTTACCCCATTTTTGACCACCACAGCCACATGAGGAAGGCCATGCAAGTTTGCGTGTCCCCCGTTACCCCAGTCTCCACAGAAACGCTCCTGGACCCGCGCCTGCTTCATTTTCCGCCGTGCCCGGCGCTCGGGGCTCCGTTTCAGTCCGATGCGAAACGGCTGCGTGCATGTTCTTCACCCCTCAAGTCAACACCACATGCTCCGGCTAGAGCGTGGAAAGTGCATAAAGGGAAAACAATGCGATGCTGCAGTGCTCGCAACAAGTAGCTGAAACGCAGCCACAAAAGAATATGATGAAATTGGTGATTCCTTTCTGTCCCCCTTTCCAAATCTCTAAACCCGAACCCCTGTTGGATGAGTTTTAACAACGGCTATGCACCGTCCTCCCCCGCAAAAGCAATCCCGAGGTCACGAGCTTCTGCTATGGCTGCAAGCAGTCAGACAAACGCAAGCGGAAGTTGACGTAAGCGACCAAGCAAGCCCCATCGTGTC